TTTTTTTTTTTTTTTTTTTTTTTATTATTCATGTTTAGTCCCGTTATCGATTTTATTATCGATTAAAATTGTTATTGATTTCATTATCGCGGTCATTCAATGCCAACGTCATCTAACGGCGATTATTTAAATATATCCTTCGCGAATATCTCTATCTGTCTTCACGCAAATAGTTATAATTCCTTCGCGATAACGAAATGGATCGACATGCAATTTTCAGACACGTCGCTGTTCTTACATTAGATACTGCCTACGCATTGCAAACCATTACAACACTAACTTCTACCTGGCTTGCTGTACAGCAAAAATATAACGAATCCTGGGACTCTTTCAAGATGATTCATCAGCGATTTTTACGCATTTTTCGAACTCGAAAATATAGGTCGAAAACCATTTTCTACGAACACGGATAGAAACTGCTTGGGAACAACTGTTCTGCGGTTATTATTCTTCTTAACCTCGTAAACATTCCAAAATTGCCGGTACTAAACCACTCCGTTTAAACAAATCGTTGTAATGCATCGGTAATGATGTAAATAGTGAAGGAGGATTAGTTCCAAACCTCTATTAAAATAATATTCCACGCATCTATTTCTTCTTCCTTCTAATTCTAATTTACAAGAAAGATGTTTCTAAAATTTGTGTCTGACTTTCTAATCGTTAAATATTGAAATGAAATCAAAGTGATACGTGTGTAGTATTCAATCAATAAAATTGCATGCATCCAATTAAATTATAAAATGAATCGAAACAGTAAATCTGTTTTTCGTTTTACGCGGACAAATTATCGTCGATTACGTAATAATTATTTTATCCCGAAGAATTAAGATTTCCATCATTTTATTTCAACAAAAGTGGAACAACAATTTGAAATTGAGAATGAAACAGTTTGAAACAGAATGCAGAGAAATTGTTAACCTCGAAGAAATATATAATCGGTGGCTATAAATAATATCAGGTGATCAATTAGCCGTGATAGACACGCGTATACAAGATTTTCGCTTTGTATGACAGTGGAATGTAAAATATTTGTACTAGTTTTCATTCAATCGTTTTAAAATGGATGGAGGGGCACGCATGAAAATCAGCCAACAGATACGTTATATGTAAATTTGTCTCATTAGAAATATTTTCGGTGCCAGAGCATCATCGTAACCATCATCGTCGTGGTTGCCGTGGTTATAGATAACATTCACCACGCGCTACTCTCATCAATGCTCACTGAGGAGTGACAACGGCGTTTCGAGCGTGCAAAAGCAATTACGTTTGGGTGCCAAGTTCTGAAAATCATCGTTGGCAAGAGGCCGTAGTCGGAAACCGACTCGTTAAAGAGGCATGCGGATACCGCCCTCGGTGATCCACCATCTCAAAATTACCTCTTAAGAAAAATAAATTCCCCTAATAATAACATCTCTTCCATTTTTACTCGTGGCGTAGATCAGTTTCTATTTGAAATTATTATATAAAACTTTCAATATAGCGTATCAATATGTTGAACCATCATTGCGGATCATTTTGGTCTCAAAGTTTAAAGTTTATCTGAGGATTATCGTTTTTTTTATTGGATGTTGTTGGATTTCTGAAAGAATAATGCGATAGAGATTACAAAAATAATAAAGAAAATAGATTATTTTGTGTATTATATATGAATTATTATTGAATTAATTTATATTATATTTTATATTTGAATTAATATTTTTAAAAGAATTTCTATGAAATAATGAAATTTATTTGAAAATAATGAAGAATTCTTATATGGAGAAATTTTAATTTTTTAATTTTTTCTAATTAATACGAAGTTTAGAAAACAAAAATAATTAAAGAAAATGTAAGCAATATTGAAACATATAACCATAAATATAATTACTAAAAATTTTTAAGCGTATTAGATAATAGAGATTGGAAAAAATATAAATTTATTTTGAATTTCACATTTGTTATAAATAATTATTACGTAGTAACGTTGATTTATAGCTAAGTTTAATATATTAATATTCTTTTATATATGACATAATTTTATTCTAATTCTCAAATGCATAACATAAATGATATAAATATTATTAATAATATTAGTAATATATTCCAATTTTCTAAAAATATGTTATGTAAATATGATATATCATTCTTTAATGATAATACATTGATTAAATGATACAAATTAATACAAATTAATAAAACGATTGTATCGAATTTATTAGATGAAAATATATTATGGAACACCTTATTGATTTGAAATAATTTCTATTGATGAGATTCCTTTCTTTAATTTATAATTTGCCATCTGGTTGGCCTCTTGCCATATTTCCTAATATAGCATCATCGCAACGTTTCTTCTACTTCAGTTTTTTATTGGTTATTATAAATTTTAAACAAATATTTTCATGCTTTTTTTTTTTTATGTAGAAAATAGAAGCTTATATAGAAAATTATAAGCTGATTCTTCGATATAATCGGCTATTCGATTTTTTTTATACGATTTTTATGATTATACAAATTTTAATTGCATATTATTCTTTCTAAAAGAAATGAGAAATGTAATATATTCAAACATTCTATAATTTAAAATTTATTTTACAAAATAAAATTATACTTATTTCCAACACAAATTCTATTTATTAAATAAAGAAATAAAAGAAATGATTGAGAAGAATTTGAATCACTTGATTCAAGAGTCACTTTCATCACTTCAATAAAGAAAGATCGCGTCGGTAAAGAAGTTTTTTTGTAAAAACTATTAATACTTTCTGTCGATAAACACAAAATTCAAAATTTCAAGACTTTGGAAGTATCGCATGCAACGATATTATTAAGCATCATTAAACTATGAGTGCAATTTTATAAGAAAGGAAAATTATGAAAGCGAACCACAAGGTCTCAGTGGATCGTATTGTGGAACACTCGTGTTACAGGGGGCACGGCTCACTATCTGTGCACAATATATGTACATAATATATATGTATGTCAGCAAGGTAGTGTGTTCGCGGATCGTGTATGCAGAAGCGCTTAAATATTAATCACATTACGGATGTTTTTGCTGAAGTGACGCGCGAGTAATAGACAGAACAATTATCAAGATGCCACGAATGTATAGGCATAGTGGAAATGGAAATCCGTGCTAAATACGGATCGCACAACTTGCAAATAAGTAGCGCCGATGGACGCGGCCATGTTTTCTGGTAGCAGAAATCTTACCCATTAATAATTCGTTAATTGTCGACCACGAAGTGGAGTGTACAGAATGCCGAAATGCGATGTGAAGACAAGGTATCTACCAGCTACGTTTGCCTGGACAGCTCTACTCAGCACTACGACACTCTTCTTCTGTTTTCCGTAAGTTTCGTACACATGTCTGTCTTCTCGTGAGTGGTTGCAATGTTTGCGCTCCTGTTTTCATTTTCAAGATTGTGCCAATTTATCAAAATATGTGTTCGTCATATATTTTTTGAATCTTATAGATGCCAATATTACGTGTTTCGATGGGGAACATGGGTACCTGCTCTTCAAGGAGTCATTACCTTTTTTGTTTTGGCAAATTTTACACTAGCAACATTTATGGATCCAGGTGTTATTCCAAAAGGTATGTTCATACATAAAATCAAAGAATCATCAAATAAACTTGTGATAGTTGTTAAAAAAGTATAATTTTATTTTTTTAAGCACCTCCTGACGAGGATAGAGAAGATGATTTCCATGCTCCATTATATAAAAATGTAGAAATCAATGGTATTACAGTTCGCATGAAATGGTGTGTCACATGCAAATTCTATAGACCTCCACGTTGTTCACATTGTAGTGTGTGTAATCATTGTATTGAGGTATGTATTAAATTTATTTTGAATGATTATTTTTTTAAATTTAATTCTTTTTTAATATTTTCAGACATTTGATCATCACTGCCCATGGGTAAACAACTGTATTGGTAGGAGGAATTACAGATTCTTTTTTTTCTTCCTCCTATCACTTAGTTTTCATATGCTCAGTATATTTGGACTTTGTCTATATTTTGTATTGGAACGTAAACAACAATTAGGTGAAGTGGACACTATTGTTGCGTATCCTTTTTTCCTGAATTGATATTTGCAATTGCATTGCAAAATAATATAATTTATTTAACATAAGATTTAATATATTGAATGCTCGGCCATCATTCATTTAAGGTGCAAATACTGTGAAAATTTATACAGCTTTTAATATCTTGAATAATATATATTTTTGTTATAATATTTATAATTTTATATCTTATAATATAAAATATCCTTAAATATAAAAATAGACTTGTACTCATGGGAGTGGTTATACTTTTATTCATTCCAATTTTTGGATTGACTGGTTTTCATGTAGTACTTGTTTCTCGAGGACGTACAACAAATGAACAGGTAACGGGTAAATTTAATGGAGGCTACAATCCTTTTTCTCATGGTTGCTTACACAATTGCTGTTATACGCAATTTGGACCACAATATCCCAGGTAATATTAATATATGTAAATATATAATAATGTTAATCATAATTTAAATTTAAATATAAGAGACAGAAAAATAATTATAAATTTATATCATTTCAGTTTGATTAAACCTGAAAAATATTCAGGAAAACGGCGTGGAGTTTCTACATCTGAGATATCGACTATAGGCAGTGAGAACCAGGTAAAAACCTACATGGATAGCAGCAATGGTGTTAGAAATGCCAGTTCAAATGCTTACAATAAGGTAAGAGCTAGTGCAACTTTGCTTGACACTTCTGACATACTACATACAAGAAGATTTTACAAGTATAAATAGCTCTTCCTTTCTAGCATGTGATTTTAACGCTTTTTTGATGTTTGACGAGTTGTATGTAGTTTTATTATAGATACATAATTCACTCTGCTTTACTTAATCTTTCAGGTTCGTGCTATATTCTTTTCCGCGCTTCGAAGCTTCAATAAGTTATACATTGCAAATTGTAGATGTAGTGCGTATCTTAACATGTTTAAAAAGACGATTGCACGATTTTTAAAGTTTTTAAACATTTATTCGTTAATTCCGAGTTTCTTTCTTTAGAGTTCAAGCATTTCAAGCGACGATTCTTCCTCTCAGTAATATCTTATTTACAACGTTGGAAAGATGCAGTTATTTTCTGTTCAGTTCCCTGTTCCTTACCCATCCTGGTTGAACGTCTATATTTCTAAGAAATGTGCGTTATTATTGTACAAAAGCGTGCTATAATAATTTAGTAAGATACATTAATTTTTTATTATAATGAAGATAGTATCAATTTGATTATTGTTTCCAGTTGTCTCCTGGACGAGACGGATCAGATACAGACATGGAACCTACTGCGTCACAGTCTGCGGATTGTGAACCTACGCCGCCAGTACAAAGACATGGTTCTAAAAGCAATTTCTTCCTGCCGCCTGTGGAGAATAATGAATCTCCCAGGCATCCTCCACCATCGCAACATCGCCATCCAATGCATCACACTAGAGGCAGCCCTCATCCAAGGCCAAGGTAAAATAAAAAATGATAGCAAATGATATATCGTTTGCTAATTTTTTTTCTAATATACATAAGGTATATTATCAATACCTATAGGGGAATG